GGAATGGGGTCCGAGGAGCTGAAGCCGAGCCTGGCAGAGGGAAGCCTAGAAGAGCCGCGCGGGGCCGGCCCCACGGGGCGCCGCGCAAACTTAGATTTCCCGACCTCGACGCTTAGAGCGCGCCTGGAGAGGAGGGGGGCGGGGCCGCGGGGCGGGGCCTAACGAGCTGGGGGCGGAGCTTGGCGGAACCGGTCCGAAATCTGCACCCACGGCCTACGCCCACGTTCGAGGCCCGGGTGGTTGCGTCAGGCCGGCATTCCTGCAGAGTCCGGCCCTCGGTCCCAGTCTCCTTAGCTGCTCAGCCGGCCCACCCGCTCCTGCAGTTGCCGAGCTTGCACAGGCCTGACGGTCACCAAGTGGGGCCTAACGAACAGGGAGGCGGGAGGGCAAGGAATGCTGGGGCCCGCACTTCTGTGTGCAGGCCTAGGGTGGCACCGCGTCCCCAGTCCAGGCTGTCTTTCTGGCTGGAGCTGAAAGTCCCGAATGCCTCGACAGCGCGCACGTAGTTGTGCGCCCCGAAGTTTCCGATCCCCGTGGCAGAGACACCTAGACACTGGTGAATGGAAACACGCACGGACACGCTGGCTCGTCCATGTCGCACGTGTGGCGAATCACACGCATGTAGCTTCGGGCGGATGTGTCCACACGGTTCCAGGAAAGTCTGTCATGAAGTATTTATTGGGCTATGGAAGCATAAACCAAGGCGGAGGGGCGGGAGGAGGCGGGGGTGAAAGCGTGGAGGGGTCCTTGGTTCCAGCGGGGGAGACGCTGCGGTCGTCTTCCGCGACGGGCGCGCATAAATCGGCGTGGCCTGCTCCTCTCCTTGGTCCTCAGTCTCCTAGAGAGGGTAGACCATCGTCCTCTGGCAGGTATTCGAGGCGCTCAGACTTCCCCAGGGTCCCTCTCGCTCCTGCCTTGCTTAGTCCAGCCCAGTCCTGGCGGGTGGTCTCCTAGCCCGGGGCGGGAGCCTCCTCCCAGGAGCCCGCCCAGCCCAGACTCACCTCTGCTGATGATCCCGGAAGGCCCAGCCTGTCCATCTTTATCTGTGGAGAGAGAAAAGAGCTTGTAAAATGGAACAGGGCGCCAGGCGGCCCAGGAGCCTTGGAGGGGACAGGCGGGTGTGAGGAACAGTCAGCCAAGGGCTCCAAACTGGAGGGGGGGGGCTCAGGAAGGACCCTGAAGGAGAAGGAGCCAGGACGGCTCTGCGGCGGCACCGGAGCCTGGGTGCTCGGCGAGGAAGAGGCGCCGGTCCCGAGCCCCGGAGCCCGACCCAGGGTGGCTGAACGGGATCCGGCGCCGCCGGGACTCACGCTGCCCGCTGCAGCCGCACCGCCTCCTCCTGCATGCCCATGTCGCGCAGCACGGCTGCGGTGAGCTCGGCGCCGTAGTCCTCGCAGTAGAAGGCGACCAGCTTGTCGGTGAGGTCCACGGCGTCCAGCGGCGCGAGTGCGCCCCGCGGGATGTGCCGAAAGCCCTGGCACAGCGGCACCGCCCGCAGCTTCAGCTTGAACTTCTTCAGCTCGTCGGCCGTCAGGTTCTCGAGCGCCTCCAGGATGGCGTCGCGCTTCTTTCCCATGGCTCAGCCCCGCCACTTCTGAGCCTCCGATGCCCTGCGTGGTGAGACGCCAGGCCCGCCCCGACCCGCAGCAGGCGGGGCCGCCGCCGGGGAGGGCGTCCTGGGGAGGAGACCCTTCTGGCGGCCGCCAGGGGTGCTCAGAGTGCGGCTCCGCGGCTCCGGCCGGGCGGGGACTCCTCTGCAAACACCTGGAGGGTCCCCCAGATTCTCCTGGGGAAGTGGGGGACGCCAATTTGTTGAGGTGGGGGATTGCTGTTCCCATTCTGCGAGGAGGAAATTGAGGTTGCAAGCCACGGAGGCAGGAGTAGAACAGTCTGATTCCAGGGCCATGCACGTCCAAGCAAAGAAGTGACTTTGTAGCCTGGTGTGCTGGTGCGCCCTGTAGACCCAGCTACTCCGGAGCGGAGGTGGGACGATGGATTGAGCCCAGGAGTTGGAGACCAGCCTAGGCAACATAGCAGGACCTCGTCTCTTAAAGAGAAAGAGAGAGAGAGAGAGAGAAAGAAGCCAGGTGTGGTGGTGTGGAGGGGTGGACCTGTAGTCCCAGCTTCTTGGGAGGCTGAGGAGGAAGGGTAGCCCGAGCCCAGGGGTTCAAGGCTGTGGTGAGCCATGTCCGTGCCAGGGTGACAGAGTGAGACCCAACTAAAAAAAAAACACAAAAACCTTTCGTGGGAGCTATTAGGAGCTCTCCTGTACTTGCGTTTCAGGAATCACAAACTGACAGACCTTGTAGGATTCAGTCTGTTGATGTGTTTGGTTGGTCGATACAGGGGACACTTTTATTAAATCGCCCGCCCCCCAGAGCTCACGGATGTTCAGGGACGCTGACTAGGGGATTAAGATGACTGAGGCTTGTCTGCTTTTAAATAAGGGGTGAAACCCAAGAACAGGAGGAGGCTGAATTTCTTCTTTCACACATCCTTTCCTTACCCCCTTAGCCTGCCGTGCACCAAGCTCTGGACCTGCCTGTCTGGTACAGGAGACCAAACCACATTTTTGTTTGTCAGCCTCACAAGTGGCTGCAGGGGGGATGGGACCAAGAAAGGCAAGGCCAGGGAGGAGCTAACAAAAAAGACAATGGCGGGGGATGGCACCCAGGCCTTGGGAGCAGCACTGGCCAGGGCCTGGAGGCGTGGGCTTGGGTTTGGGAAGACGGGTGGAGGAGGAGCTGGCGTCGAGACCGAGTTGCAGAGGGCAGGTTTAGGGAGAGAGGAGTGGGTTTGGGCAGGTACGTGGGCGGGTGGCATCCCAAATATTTCTCCATGCCCCACCCCCCAGACGCAGCTGCCACAGCAGAAGCTGCAGTTGCAGGAGGCGTGCATGCGCAAGGAGAAGAGCGTGGCTGTGCTGGAGCATCAGCTGACGGAAGTGGAGGTGAGGGACTCAGTGTGGCCGGGCCTGCGGACTGGGGGCCAGGTTGGGGGTCCCCAGCCAAGTGCTTTTGCCTGTGTGTCCCCTTCCAACCCCACAGGAGACAGTGCGTCAGTTCCGGGGGGCCGTGGGAGAGCAACTGGGCAAGATGCGAGTGTTCCTGGCTGCGCTGGAGGGCTCCCTGGACCGAGAGGCAGACCGTGTGCGGGGCCAGGCGGGGGTTGCCTTAAAGCGGGAGCTGGGGAGCCTGAATTCTTACCTGGAGCAGCTGCGGCAGATGGAGAAGGTGCTGGAGGAGGTGGCTGACAAGCCACAGACTGAGTTCCTCATGGTGAGTGCTTCCTTTCCCACCCCTTGCCACCGCTCCGGCTCCAGAGACCTCATCCCATTGTCAGAGAGGGATCCTGAGGCCCAGAGAAGGGTGGGGATGAGCTGGGGGCTCATGTCCAGGAGGAGCAGGCCTCGGGACTGCCGTGTAGTTGTTTAGGTTGGGCACTGCACAAGGACACTCTATTAAGTGGACACCCTTCATATCAGAAACATTGTTAAGTTTGAGTATTTAGTAAGATCATCTAAGTGTAGAATGAGAGTTTCTTGGGGAGGTTGTACTTTTTTCTAATCTACGTGAAGGTAAAGGGCTAGGGTGGCTTTGACTTTTGGGTTTTCTTTGGCTTTTCTGATTTCTCCTGACCCCCAAGCCCGGTATTCCTAGTTGTCTACCCCATCCTCAGAAGACCCCAGTGTCTCCCCACCTACTCACCTCCATTCTCCTTTTCTCTCTCTCTCCAGAAATACTGCCTGGTGACCAGCAGGTGAGATCAACCTGGACTTGCTTCTTTGCCCAACTCACCCTAGTCTCATAGTGTCACCAGCTGGCTCATCCTCTACTCACAATGCGCCTGCATATCCCCCAACCCAGCCCACTGCCATCTTCCTGCTTGAGCACAGGGTGGAACACAGAAATGTTCCAGACCCCGTCCTCAAGGACCTCCTAGACTGTGCTGTGGGACAGATGTGGGCATGATGTGTGCCCAGTGCAGCTGTGTAGGGAAAGAGATGGCTAGGGAAGGCTTCCTGGAGGATTGGACATTTGAGTTGGATCCTGGAGGGATGAAGAGGGGTTGGCTAGGGAAAGAGTTGGGAGCAGAGCACTGCAGTCACAGGGGACAGAAAGAGCAAAGGCTGCTAAGGGGGACAGGAGATGACGCCGGTATGGTAGTGGGCCAACTGGGAAGGCTGAGGAGCTTGGACCTTATTCCAACAGAAGGTTTTTTTTTTTTTAATTACAGTAAAATACATATAACACAAAACTGACCATTTTAATCATTAAAAAAAATTGAGCTATATACTTGATTTATTATTATTATTTTTTGAGTTGGTGACTCACTCTGTTGCCCAGCCTCGACCTCCTGGGCTCAGGCGATCCTTCCACTTCAGCCTCCTGAGTAGCTGGGACTACAGGCATGCACCACTGCACCTGGCTAATGTTTTGATTTTTTTTTTTTCTTTTTTTCCGAGTTGGAGTCTCACTCTGTCGCCCAGACTGGAGTGCAGTGGCACGTTCCCGGCCACCGC